TAGAAATATTAGTGCTGCTGAGAAGATTAAATTTCTTATAAAGGCTCTTCAAAACAGCACTTCAGAAAAGAATTCTTGGCTTCTTGGCAGTGTTGAAAGATCTCTATAGCAAGAAATTATCAGAAAATTCCTTAAGATTTCCATGCATTCCTCCCTGAGAATTTGTCACAACTGCATGAACCTCTGTGAATCTAACTGGAGAATTTAGGTGCAGTTTTGTGACAATAGCTTAATTTTCAGTGCTCTTGTGTTAATTTCGCACCTTGGTGGGGAGGTTGTATGGGAGATGACGCAGAACTTGCAAGAAGTGTCAATATTGGTGTCCTAGGGCTGGCTAAAAGATTGCCTAGCCAGTGGTGTGCAGCATGTATCCGCCAGCTGTTTCCTCTTTTCTCGCCATGCCCATTCTGACAGTATTAGAAATCTTTGCGCAGTTCCTACCTCCTCTCTGCCTCTCACTTCAGTTTGATAATTGATTCTGCCTCCCCTCCCCGGACCTGCCTGAAATTGCTTTTTCAGATTTCTTTTGTCTTTAGGTTAATTACAGCTAATACTCGGACAAAACAGCAGAAACTCCCAAACTGTGTGCTTTATGCAGGAGTACTAAGCATAGGAGGGCAAAGCCCTTGGGACGCTTCATCGCTGTGGAGGATGGCTGTGGTTTGGTGTTATGAATAGCTAGGGGTACTGGAATGGTGTGGGGTGACTGCTTTAAAGGGGGGAGTGAAAGCAGATCACTAATGATTTGTGCTGTGTATCCAATCCGCTGTTTAGTACTCTAGGGCAGTATATTCAGAGACTTTGCGAAGCTGCTTTGTGATTATTTTATCTATTAGTAATGTTATCACAGTGATGGTGTAAGAATGATGACAGTACTGTGAAGACAAACTGTTTGTTAGTTTCTTAAATATTTTGCAGTGGACTTTGAAAAATTTCTAAGATTTGTGGCTTTCTCTTGACAGCTATTTCCACTAACATTTTTAATACTCTCTAAAGTAATTACTGGGAAGACTTATTTTGTGTGTGTTTTAACAGAGATAGCAGGTTGTATGCTTTCATGCTGAAGTTAAATGCTATTTGAGAAGTTTTTACATACTAATTCTAAAGAAAGATTTATAAAACATAAGTAGCTCTGTGTGCAGAAAGGCATGTTTGCAGTTTGCAGTATTTAAAGTGTATAGATTGATCAGAATAAATTTATCGTAGGAAATTTCTTAATGTTAAAGATTAAGAGGTATCAGAAAGTGTCTTATATCAAACCATCTCTAGAACTTTCAGAGTTTGGAGCAGGAAAATAGAAAATAAATAAATAAATTGAAAAGCAAGAGTATTTTTCCAGTCAGACACGTGACTCTTGTTCCTCTGAAGGCCTTGGCAGGTTTGACCAGGTAATAGGCAGAGACACCTCGTGTTTGTGTGATGAAAGGGGTGTTCAGAGTTTGCCTCTTATTTGTGTAAAAGTTTATTTCATTGTTTGCTGCCAGTGAACTTTTCCTTCAGTGGAATAGAGATGGCCCTCCTAGGCACCGATAAAACTGGGTACTGCACCTGCTCCCTCTCTGCAAAATGTCATGTAGCCTAAGAAAGGATTCGCTTAGCTGAGAAAAAAGTCTCTTCAGCATTTACATTTCTGTCTCTCTTGTTCTTCTAGTAATGATTCTTCACATTTTGCAACCCTTATTACTGGTCAAAGCCTTGTCTCTATCTTGGGAAGCTGGCAGGCATCTTTCCTCCCATCCTGTTGATGGGATATGAGAGGTTCGTAGTTGGGAATAGAGGCTGTGCTCCTAGTATGGTATTTCAAAGCCCTCTTAGCTAGTTTGTCAGAATGTAATGATTGTACATGTTTATCTTTTTTTTTCTATTTAGATGGAACTACTCTTGCATACTCACTAAAATCTACAGATAAATTAACGCAACATAAGCAGTATGCATGCAGCAGTTACAGCTCTTCTGCTCATCTGCTATTTCAGCTGCTGCCCATAGGTCTAAGGTACTGGCCAGCAGACATGTATGTAGTTAAACAAGTGACTGGTGCCTCTGAAGAATAATGGAGTGATTATAGCAGCTTTTATAGAATCATAGAATGGTTTGGGTTGGAAGCCATATTATATAACATCTCGTTCCAACCCCCCTGCCGTGGGCAGGGACCCCTTCCACTAGACCAGGTTGCTCAAAGCCCCATCCAACCTGGCCTTGAATGCTTCCAGGGCAGGGGCATCCACAGCTTCTCTGGGCAACCGGCGCCAGGGCCTCACCACCCTCAGAATAAAGAATTTCTTGCCTATATCTAATCAAAATCTACCCTCTTTCAGTTTAAAGCCATTACTGCTTGTCCTGTCCCTACATGCCCTTGTGAAAAGTCCTTCTCCAGATCTCTTGTAGGTCTCTTCAGGTACTGGAAGGCTGTAATAAGGTCTCCGCAGAGCCTTCTCTTCTCCAGGCTGTGAAAAATTCTGTTCTAACTCTCTAGCAGTTCACTTGTTTGTGGTCTGCCGAGTTTCAGCATCTGTGCAAGGACAGGAACGACTCTCACACACACACTGATATGATGCACAGTCGTGTCCTTTATGATTCTGCTTGTTCGGTTATGTACATTTTCCATATCTGTACACGCGATCACGCTTATTCGGAAAGGCTACAGACATGAATCACACGCTGTTCACACGCCCCACATTCCCTTATGATTGGTAACTATGCACTAACGCCAGTAGCAACAGACTGCCTCCACGTCCTTGAAGACATCTTGTTTTTGCTAACCCACACCATGTGCACTATCAGAACTTTCTCAATGGCTGTTCTTAGCTGTCTTTTCCAGCAGCCTGTTCAGTTATGCTGTTTTGCTTAAGCAGCCTAGT